CGCGCCGTCTCTTCGCCGACCGCTGAGCGCCGGTTCGCGCCCAGCCCTGCCGGTGGGATTCGAGTTTTGAAAACGCGCAGCTCCAGTAGAGCCGGGTCTTGGCGCTTCAGCGGGGCGGCTGAAGCCTCGAAGGTCATGTTGGCTTGGTGGCCGTCCTTGTCCCCGCGTTCGTGTCCCGGGAGCACGGAAGGAAGGCGTCTGTAGTTTTGAGTCAGCAGCACGAGCACGATGTTGTCGCAAGGACGGGTTTTGGAGTCGGGCTGCCTAACCTCTCCGAGTCTCCGTGTTCCCGTCTGCTGAATGGGGCCATTGCGGGCATTCCAGGACTGGCAGAATTAGCTATTATTATTAAGAATGTCACATTTTCGGAGCAGGGACTCTGTGTTCGTTGCATATTAGAGCCTGCTGTCAGCGGGAGGCTCCTCCTCTGTTGGTAGCCTTCCCTCTAGATACACACACAGGACCTGATACATGTTGCTGACATAATGATAGTGTGTGGACAGAACCATGGCCGTGATCTGTCTCAAGGAAAGGTTCACGTGTCCAGTAATCGCTCTCACTGTTTAGGTGACTGTTCCTCATCCTCACGGTGGTGTACGGGTGGTGGTTGAGGTCCCCGGGTCGGCCACGGGAACCTGGCTTGGCCTCCTGCTATCCCAGCGCCCTTGAGGTAGTCAGCTCAGCGTCTTCACTGTGAGGGGAGATAGGCCGGTGCGGGGACTCACGCCTGCGATCCCAGCCCTTCGGGAGGCCGAGGCGGGAGAAGCTTGAGTCCAGGAGGTGGAAACCAGCCTGGGTAGTGTAGCAGACCCTCCGAGCTACAATTTTTTTTAAATTTTTTTTTTTTTTTTTTTTTTTAGATACGGGCTTTTGCTTCATCGCCCAGGCCGGAGTGCAATGGTACAAACACAGCTCACTGCAGCCCCAGACTGAAGCAATCCTCCCGCCTCAGCCTCCCAAGTATCTGGGACCACAGCACCATGGTTGATTTTTTAAAATTTCTGGAGAGACGGGGCGCGTTGGCTCACACCTGTAATCCCAGCACTTTGGGAGGCTGAGTCGGGCGGATCACCAGGTCAGGAGATGGAGATCATCCTGGCTAACACGGTGAAACCCCGTGTCTACTAAAAATACAAAAAATTAGCCGAACGTGGTGGGGAGCGCCTGTGGTCCTAGCTACTCGAGAGGCTGAGGCCGGAGAATGGTGTGAACCTGGGAGGCGGAGCTTGCAGTGAGCTGAGAGTGGCCACTGCACTCCAGCCTGGGCAACAGAGCAAGACTCCATCTCAAAAAAAAAAAAAAAAATTCTGGAGAGGTGGGGTTCATCATCTTGCCCAGGCTGGTCTCGAACTCCAGGACCCAGGCGATCCTCCCACCTCGTCCCCTTAAAGTGTTGGCATTACAGGCCTGAGCCACAGCTCCTGGCCTCTACGAATTTTTGTTTTCTTAAATTATCTAGGCTCAGTGGTTCACGACTGTAGTCCCAGCAACTCGGGGGACCAAGGCGGGTTGCTTGGCGCAGGAGGTTGAGGCTCCAGTGAGCTGTGATTGCACCGCTGCACTCCAGCGTGGGTGACAGAACCTGTCTTTAAAAAAAAAAAAAGGGCGTGGAAGAGGGGAATAATAGTGCCTGCATTCATGACTTTTACTCTTTGAGGCTCCCTTGCCAGTCTTAGATCAATTTCTTCGCTCTGGTCATGCCATGCTGCCCTGCGGTAGGTCCTTTTTCAGTTTCCTGCATTGTATCCATTTCCCTGTTTTACCAAGCTCTGATCCCTTTTCTTCTTTTCTTTCTTTTTTTTTTTTTTTGAGACAGGGTCTCTCTCTGTCGCCCAGACTGGAGTGCAGTGGCGTGATCTCAGGTCACTGCAACCTCTGCCTCCAGGGTTCAAGTGATTCTCCTGCCTCAGCCTCCTGAGTAGCTGGGATTACAGGTGCCCACCACTATGCCTGGCTAAATTTTGTATTTTTAGTAAAGATGGTGTTTCACCATGTTGGCCAGGCTGGTCTCAAACTCCTGGCCTCAAGCAATCCACTTGGCCTCCCAAAGTGCTAGGAGCCACCCCCGCCTAGCCTGACCCCTTTTCTTTTGCTGCTTGTGAATATTGGACTCAGACATACAGTTCTAGGTAGGGATCTGCATTGTGAGCTTGCAGTTTTATGTCAGAAGTGTTACCCAGAGGCCTTCCTTTGGAGTGACACTATCGTCCCTGTAAATGTCACTCAGATGCGGATATATAAGGAAGTTCTCTGTGCTGACAGCTGTAGCTGATTAATTTGTGAGGGGAGGCGGAGGCAGTGGTGATACATACTCCTTGGTACTCTGAAGATTTGCCTGGTGACACCTGGGCATTATTGTGCTGTGAGGGAGTCTGACAGGACAGGTTTTCCTTTCTGTTCCTGCTACCGTTAAAGATCAGAGACAGAAGTACTGCTTTCACGGTGAGGTTCCTGGGGAAGAGATTCTGATGTGTTGAGAGATGAGTTCTCAGGTATTATGCCCAGAGGAATAAGGCTGATGATAAAGCAACTGAAAAGTGCTCGTGTTGTCAGACATAAAGGCTAATTCTCCAAAATGCGGAGCACTCAACTTAAGTGTTGTGAATTAGTATCTCTTACATTATTCCTTGAATGATAGACACGCAGAGCTTGGATTAGATATGCAGAGGAGAAGAAGTTTCATTGATGATTTCTTCATAGAATACAACCTCGGTGTTAAATTCAGTCACTGATTATTGCTAGGGATATTCCATGTCAGCACAATTTGAAAATAGAGCCTGAAAAGGGTTCCTCAGTATTTATGGAGTGCACACAGTGCCCAGTTCTGTACTAAACTTTGTGGTGGTGAAGACTTGCTTTATATGGTACTCTGGTTTGAGTTTGGCCTCACCAAAACTCAGGTTGTGTTCCCCATGGTGGTGGTATTGGGAGGTGGGGCCCAGTGGGAGGTGTTTGGGCCGTGGGGGCGGAGCCCTCGTGAGTGTCTCGGTGCCATTCTGGAGGTAGTGAGTGAGCTCTGTGAGCTGTGGTGAGACTGGCTTAGTTTCAGAGACCTTAGGTTGTTATAAAGTGGAAGTTCCTCCCTCATGGCATGTGGCCGCTTTGCCATTGACCTTCTTCCACCATGTTTTGATGGAGCACCTTCTCCTGCTGTAATTTGACTTAGCATGTGACCCTCACCATAAGCCCAGCACCCTATTTCTCATGCTTCCCCTCTTGCAGAACTGTGAGCTAAATAAACCTTCCTTTGTAAATTGCCCAGCTTCAGACACTGTGTTACAGCGAAACAGAAAGGACTAACCCTAAGACGTGGCAATATAACCTCTGCGCCACCCCGGTTCCCTGTACTCAGAGCTTTTGTTTGGTTACATTGTTATGCCATAGTGTAACTGATTTGTCCCTACGAGTTTCTTCCCTGTTTCTGTGCTGCTTAGGGGTGGGAACTGGTTCTGATTCCCCTTTAGACACCCCACTGCTTGACAGCACCTGGGCTGGAGTTGTTGACTTGTCTAGCTTGAATAACATTTCATTTTAATCTACACCCTTAATGGATTTGACATTGGAAAAAACTCTTATGTTGCATTCTTATCTGTTATCAGTGGTTATTTCATAGGCCAAGTGTTCCGGTGGTTGGGCAGGGTGTAACACAACATAAGCTCCAAAGTCTCCCCGGCCAGTATTGCACTCAGACAAAATCATTGTTGGTGTTCCTGTCCTGCTTTGCTGTGTAGAATTGTGTATTTATTTGAAGTTAAATCATCTCATTCTGTTTTGTTTCTTATTGACATTTTTATTTACAAACCGTTCTTCATCTTAAAGGTACAGTTCATTGGCTTTTAACATACTCACAAAGTTATACAACCATCATCACTGTCCCCAATTCCAGAAATTTTCAGCACTCCAAAAAGAAGCCCTATGACCATTAATAATAACTTCGCATTTCTCTGTAACCATTCCCCCAGCTCTAGGCAACTACTGGTATGTATCTCTCTATGGGTTTGCCTATTCTAGACGTTTCATATAAATGGAATCGTAATGTGTGACCTTTTGTGTCTGCCTTCTTTTACTTAATGTAATGTTTTCAGAGTTCATCCCCGTGTCAGTGCCTCATTCCTCTGTCTGAGTGACTGGTATTCTCTTGTATGGGTATACCACATTTTATCTATCTGTTCATCATCAGGTGGTGAACGTTTGGGTTGTTCCTACTTTTTGACTGTTATGAATAAGGCATCTGTGAACATTCGTGTGCATATTTTTGTGTGGACACGTGTTTTCACCTTCCTTGGGTAGGGGTGGCATTGCTGGGTCATATGGTAACTCTACATATACCATTTTGAGGATCTGTCAAACTGTTTTCCAAAGTGGCTACATCATTTTACGTTCTCACCAGCACAGTGTACAGGGCTCCAGTTTCTCCACATTCTCACCCACACTTGTCTGTCTTTTTGATTATAGTGGGTGTGATGTGGTTTTATTTGGTTTCGTAATTTTTATAACTATTACTTTATTTTTATTTTTTTGAGATAGAATCTCACTACATCACCCAGACCAGAGTGCAGTGGTACGATCTCGGCTCACTGCAAACTCTGCCGCCTGGGTTCAAGCAATGCTCCTGCCTCAGCCTCCCGAGTAGCTGGGATTACAGGCGGCTGCCAGTGCGCCCGGCTAATTTTTGTATTTTTAGTAGAGACGGGGTTTCACCAGGCTGGTCACCTTTCTTGGCCAGGCTGGTGTTGAACTCCTCAGCTTGTGATGCACCGCCTTGGCCTCCCAGTGTACTGGGATTACAGGTGTGAGCCACTGCGCCTGGCCAGGTTTTGTCTTTTGAATGCTACAAATTAAACAAATATCATCAAAGTGAATGTGTTGTCACATAATTATAATTGGACTGCAATTCTACATTATGTCTGATTTTGAAATATTCTTGTTTTCTGGATAATAATGTGTGTCTCCTGGTTCTTTTGCTGGAATAGTGGCCTAGTGCTAGGTAACCCTAGTCCTCACTAAGGGAGTCATTCTCTGTTACTTCATAACCACCTGTGGAAGAGAGAGACCTTTAGTCTACTTTATGACCAGGAAATGAAGCTCTTTTAAATGTTTTATCTTGATATAACCATGGTTTTATTTTTATGTCATGTTACAGCTTTACCGATTTGTTACAACTCAAACAAGGGCCAGCAGAAATTCTCTTTTGACAGATGTAATTGCTGCCTATCAAAGATTCTGTTCCCGACCCCCAAAAGGTAAATGCTTAGGTGTGGCTGTAGTGTTCTACGTTCTTAGGTTGGGTCTTCTGTCTCCTTCTGTAATCCATTCCCCTGCCTCCAGCTTATGTCTGATTACAGCGATGAAGATGTCATCTTCGAATGTAACACATTTGTAGATAATGAAATTGATATGCAAAAAGGAGGCTTTTTCCTTGAACACTTCTGGGTTGTGAACTATATTATTTAGACTTTGATGTACTTGTACACAAGAAATGTTATGCTTTTAGCTTGTGCTTTTTTTTTTTTTTTCTTTTTTTGAGACTGAGTTCGTTCTTGTCGCCCAGGTTGGAGTGCACTGGAGTGATCTTGGCTCACTGCAACCTCCGCCTTCCAGGTTCAAGCGATTCTCCTCCCTCAGCCTCCCGAGTAGCTGGGATTACAGGTGCCCACCACCACACCCGGCTAATTTTTTGTATTTTTAGTGGAGTCAGGGTTTCGCCATGTTGGGCAGGCTGGTCTTGAACTCCTGACCTCAGATGATCTGCCCACCTCGGCCTCCTAAAGTGCTGGGATTACAGGCCTGAGCCACCGCGCCTGGCCAGCTTGTGCTTTTCAATGATACATCAGCTGCTTTGAAAACAAAATGGACACGAAACCTGATGAATTTTAGTTTGACGATATGTATTTTTTTCCTTTTCTAACAGGATTTGAAAAATACTTTCCTAATGGAAAAAATGGAAAAGAAGCTAGTGAACCTAAAGAAGTTATGGGAGAGAAAAAAGGTACCTTTTGACAAGATTATATTTTAATTTTGTGTTTTCCCCTCATGTATTATGGTGGTAGTTTCCACTGAACAAAGAAAAGAGTTATCAGGCTGGGCAGTGTCTCACGCCTATAATCCCAGCCCTTTGGGAGGCCTAAGCTGGTTCACTTGAGCCCAGGAGGTTGAGACCAGCCTGGACAATGTGGTGAAACTCCTTCCCTACTAAAAATACAAAAAATTAGTTAGACATGGTGGTGCACACCTGTAGTCCCAGCTACTCGGGAGGCTGAGGTGGGAGAATCACCTGAGCCCGGCAGTGAGCTGTGATTGTGCCACTGCACTCCAGCCTGGGCAACAGAGAGACCCTCCAGAAAAAAAAAAAAAAAAAAAAACAGAAAGAAAGAAAGTTATAGTAAGTCAGTTGTGACGCTGTAGATTGCAAGTACATATGAAATTCTACAGACCCTGTGTTTCATTTCACCTTAATTTTCTGTTGATATTTTCCTGTCATTTTGCAGATTGAAGTAATTTAAGGCCACCTTAGAGGTTTTGGCTGGTCAAACTAAGCATATTCGGTAGATACTTGGGACATAATTTAAAACATTGAGAAAAATCTTAGAAATCTAATACATGCAACTTATTTGATACATATTGTGTTGTAGGACAGTGTTTTCAAAATTGCTCCTCAGAGCATTACCTCACCTTAGGGATTCGGAGAGACTTTCTTAGAGCTCGGTGGCTGGGGAACTGAGTGGGCCTCCTGTGCCCATTTCGATTGGCATCCTTGCTTTTTAGGGAAATGTAAAGAACACTGTAATTCAGTTCTTTTTTTTTTTTAGAAGGAGTCTCACTCTGTCATCCAGGCTGGAATGCAGTGGCCCGATCTCAACTGCCTCTTGGGGTTCAAGTGATTCTCCTGCCTCAGCCTCCACAGTAGCTGAGATTACATCCGTGCACCACCATGCCTAGCTAATCTTTAAGAGATAGGGTTTCGCCATGTTGGCCAGGCTGGTCTCAGACTCCTGACCTCATGTGATCCACCCGTCTCAGCCTCCCAAAGTGCTAGGATTACAGCCATGACCACTGTACCTGGCCTCAGTCCATGTTTTTAAATTTGCTTGTCATCTAGTTAGAGAGACAAATACACGCCCAAAGAATGCAAAGGAGTAAGAGCCACGGGACATGGGGGGGGAGAAGTGCTGGTGTGGGCTGGTGGCAGCCCCAGGGCTCTACATTGGAGCAGCACCTAGAATTCTCCCAGTGCATGCTGGGTAGTCTTTGAGTCTTGGTGTGGGGGCTGAGTAGTGATAACCCATACAACCTTTCGGGTGGCTTTTGTGTGGACATTCCTTTCTCCCTGAGTGGTTTGGAGTGTTGCACAGCTTTAGTGGTGTGCTTACTGCGTGTTTCCCAGTCCTGGGCCTCACTGAGGGGGCTGAGGCTTGTGTACGTCATACCTGTCTCAGACTCTGCTTGAGACAGAGGTGCAGAAGCCCCTCGTATGCAGCACATCGGGGTGAATGTGTCATGAGCCACATGTTAACATAGCCACTGAGGATGACCGGGTGCCTGTAGCCTCCCATCCTGCTACACTAGAGGGGTTGCTTCATGGTCACTGAAGACATCAGAAGTGTATTCGGGCCGGGTGCGGTGGCTCAACACCTGTAACTTGGGAGGCCGAAGCGAGTGGATCACCTGAGGTAAGGAGTTGAAGACCAGCCTGGTCAACATAGTGAAACCCCATCTCTACTAAAAATACAAAAATCAGCTAGGCATGGTTGTGTGCGCCTGTAATCCCAGCTACTCGGGAGGCTGAGGCATGAGAATCACTTGAACATGGGAGGCAGAGGTTGCCGTGAGCCGAGATCACACCATTGTACTCCAGCCTGGGAGACAGTGAGACTCCGTCTAAAACAACAACAGCAACAACAACAGGGACTGAATTACAGTTTTCCTCACATACATTTCCCTAAAAAGCAAAGATGCCAATTGAATACCAACTGTGGACGTGTTTTTTTTTTAGCCGTTTGTCAAAACCATGGGCTTTCCTGCAGAAGAAAGTGTTAACAATGTATACTTTGTGGGAGTGGGAAAGGGAGTACTTACTTTTGTTGTGTTTTGTTGTTGCTGTTGCTTTTGAGATAGGGTCTTCCTGTTGCCCAGGCTGGAGTGCAATGGT